CTGGTACCACTGCTGTTGGTATACAATCTTACTGGACATATTTAAATGTTATTGTTCTCATTAACTACACATTGCAACAATTAACATCTATTAAAGCAGAAAACTAGAAAACTCTCCACAGGTTTGTCCCTTTTAATACTTTCTGTAATCGTGTGATTATTTAATAACAGTCAAATTAAAAGTTTCTAAGTAGGAGAATAAACAAGAAAACCCCTCAGAGTTATTAACGTACAAAAACAGGTAAATATTTGGACGATGTCCAGAAGATTTTGAGTGATGTTGCCAAGTCATTCATGTATTGTATTACAGTGTAACCATTAGTTACTGTCCTTGCAGACTTTACTAAACTAGTAAGAAAAGCTTTTAGCAGAAAACAACAAGAACCTGGTTGGTGCATTTATATACTGGAAGCAGGTATCGGTGTGTTTGTAGCAAAGTCTCTGAACTGAGCTGAACATTTGTAGGAGCTTTATCAGAAAGTTATCTTTTGAATGGTAGCCAGCTGTGAAGAGAACAAGTACACTTTGTCCACCGCATCGACTTACTGGCCTCACACGCAAACACAAACTCACAACAGGGCTTAAAGTCAGAGGCGTTAAATCGACCTTTGACTGTGGTTAAAAATACGTTTCCTGGTGTTGACCTGGTCAGTGTTTCCTCTCAGAGATTTCTTGTCCTCCTGTAAACAAACAGCACTTTAAGCTTAAAAGGGACTCAGAGCGAAAACACTGGTGGTTTTTTCACTCAGACGTCTTACTCTATGAAAGTGTTTCATCTTTGGGGTGGGTGGTATCCTTCGGTTTTTCATGGCCTCATCCCTTCCTGACACTCCTCTGTGGTACAGTTATGTCGCAGCATTTGTGTTAAAAATACGTTAAAGCTTAGATACTCTGGACTTAAGTCGTTGTAGTGCAGTCAGACAACTACATAAACAGAAATATCAGGTGACTGATCCAATTATTGTTGTATGAGTAATGTACAATACTGAGTAACAGCATGGTCAAGGAGCTCCAGGCTCTGCACATGCTAACGTCTCCATGTTGTAAACGAGTGTGACAGACAACATCTGGTAAAACCAGCATGGTTTGGCAGTATTTTCTTCCATGAAAAGTCATTTGTGTGCAAGCTGTGCATGCAAACGTCTTCTAAACACTCCAAGAGTACAGAGAAACACCCAGAGCTAAAAAATTCAAGTGTCAAAAACTGCAGTTCCTGCAGGCACCACTTGAGGTGCACTCTTAAAATGAATCAGTTCCTGTACACTCACATGTTACAATGTCAAACAGACACTCTGGTTTTGCCCTCTGTGGGTTGTTTCCCCTCAAAACAACTGTGTCAGGTGGATGTTTTACAGCTGGCCCCCCTGAATAACTGGATTAGGGACACGGCTGCATTGATTAACAGGCATCCCTGCCCAGCTTCTGGTCTTTAAACAGTCTCAGTTATGTGGGTGTGTGCTGCTGGTGCCTTTTGGAGCATTTTAATGGACTCACTAACAACATGATTTGCTGTGACGTCAGGCTAGCGATTTTGCGAGCCCTGCACCTGAATCAAATGTTTAGTTCATTAAGAGGTTTCTGGAGAACCTCAAGACATGTTGAGGAGGTAATTTAGCCATTTAAATCAGCCGTGTTGGATCAATCTGCCTGACACATCTAAAACCTGCAGGACACCGGCCCTCGAGGCCTGGAGTTTGATGCCTTTGGGCTCGGGGATCAAGGACGTAGCATAGTGTCCATCAGTGGGGCACTAAATCTGCCAATCAAAAGAAAAATGTTCGCTGGTTCACCTTCATCAGAGGGACTAAACTCAAACTGCTTTTAAACAGGGACAGAAGCACTTTTGTTTTTATCTTGTTAGTCAAGTGGTTGTTGCTTTCACAGCTGAGGCTGCTCTGCAGTCAAACGCAGTAAATAATGTCACTTCAGAGCCTTGTCTTTATTTTATTACAGTACTGGAAACGATGGCCTTGGGATTTCTAAATACCCTGCTATACCATTATCTCATGATAGCCCCCATGTCTGCTCACCATCAACTGCAATGAGATTTACAAATGCTGTGTCACTTGCTAAATGAGAATGACTCACACTTGTTTTCTACAAGCACCTTTAAGCTGTTTTTGCCTCTAAAGTTTCTGCTGCACAAAAAGCAAAGTCTATGTTTTGTGTCATATAACTTGTATGCATAGAGTTTAACCACTGCCTGTAACATTGTGTGTTAATTTGGGTCAGCCCTCACTCCACTTTCACACACTCTAATGGCTTTAGTGTGTGTTTTTCCCATAAAACACATTAGAGTGTGTTTGCTCTCTGCTGAAGAAAGTCACAGCAGGTCAGTCATTAAATTGGTCCACTTACCACGGCAGCTTTAAAGTCGTACATTTATCTGAAGTTTCATGTTATCGTTCCACATTTGGTGCTTTTGGCTTTAATTAGAAAGAACTTAACTCACAATCATACATTTCACCTCTCCTGGCCTGGAAGGACCTTTCAGACTATGGGAACAAACACACGAGAATGATTTCTGGCCTAAGTGGAAAGAAAAGTTGATTTTTTTAGTAATTTTACCAGTTAAAACATTTGATATGACATAGAAACCCAGACCATAATACCTGTAAAATGTTTATCTTTAGATCTACCATATATGTACAGTTAGTAATAGAAACTTTAGACTACAAGCAACATGCAACCATACATCAAACTCATCCATGTGGGTGTAGCCCAAGTCCAAGTCTGATTATTGAGCAAATACATCTCTCTTAATCTTTATAACTGTTCATTCTTGTGCTTAGTGATATTTGATGGTAGAATCTAAGCTTCTAATTGGATAATGGTTTCAGCCTGCAGACTGATTACCTGACCTGTTGGATCTGTCTGTATACATTCTGTTTTTCCCTTATTTGTACTTGAAGGTCCAAAGGACAGGATGTAAATCATTGCTGTGGCATAGCTATCTCC